TATCAAGACTGCTGACACTGGATAAGATCTGATCTGCAGAACCAGGCTGCAGGGGGTGGGGTAGGGTAGAGGAACTGGGAGAAAGCTCTCAAGGCTTAAGGAGGTAAAAAAGGAAGCCAATGTCAGAGACTTGGGGAAAGAAAGAGAAACAGACAGAGATTTGAAGAAATAACTTAAGGTCAGAATGGTGGTCAGAATCCAAGAGCAGAATCTGAGAGTCTGGGTATGGCCCAGACTGCCTGAAGGGCTTGGTGCTTGGCAGGCATTTCATAAATATTTGTAGGACGAAGAAAGAGGGGCAAGGTTATCCCTGTGGCTTAATTTTAAGAACTCTGGGGACTTGGCCCTGCAGGAACTCCCTGCTTTCCCCAATGGAGGTGGACATTCTGACTTTTGGTGATCCTTCCAGCTACACAGATCTAGCTCTGCTCTGAAATAGGTGTCAACTGTTCATTCACTCAACATATCTTTAGTGTGCACGCACTAGTGTCAGGTACCACTTGTAGGTGCTGAGAGTTTTACTGTTAGCCCAACAGTCAAATATTATGCTTTCCTAGCTGGGCGTGGTGGTGCACTCCTGTAATCTCAGCACTCGGAAGGCTGAGTCAGGAGCATCACCATGAGTTCAAGGCCAGCTTGGGCTACATAGTGAGCTCAAAGCTAGCCTGAACTACATAGTGAGACCCTGTTTCAAAACCAAATATTATGCTTTCCTGAGATTTATGTTCTGGAAAGAAGGAAGGGCAATAAGCAAACAAGGAATTGATTAGATATTTGTGTTTATAATACACATTTGAGTGGTATATTACATGGTGATAACTGTTAGAGAGGAAGGTAAAGCAGGGACGGGAGAACAGGGTGTAAACATTTTGGAGAGGGTGCCATGGAGACCTCCCAAGAAGCACAGCTGAGGACAGACCTAAGGAGAAAAGAAAAGAGCTTTGCAGACATGCGGGGGAAGAGTGTTTTAGGAAATAGGAAGGCCCTTCAACTGAATCACAAGTAGTTTGAAGGTGGGACGAGTATTTTCTGTGCCTTTAGAAATATTTGTGGTCAGCTTTCACTGTGTAGTCTTTCGTACTACTTGAGTGTTGTGGTAGACATAAAAAGTAAAATAATTTTAATTGAGCTTAAAGGGGGATGGAAAGCACACAGTTAAACACACAGCTCAATGATTGCTGTTTGAGTATTTGATAGTGATATGTTTGAAACACCAGGGCCCATTTTGACTTTGTAGTGATTACTAACCCTATCATTTTCCTAAGAGATTGTTCATTGGTGTGCCAGGAAGGGCCATCTGCTCCTTTTCGGGCCATTTTTAAGTAACGATAGGCTGGGCCTCAGATTCCAGCTACGTGAAATGCCTGCACTTGTCACCTTTCACATTAGCTCCCTCCAAGCCCTGAGAGCCCCGCAGGTAGAGAAGACAAATTTGTACTTGTGTGTCATTCACATCTGAAAGCCCAGGGAGAACGTAAACAGTTGTACCTGAAGAGCAAGCAGTGAAAATGAACCACAGGGTGAGAAGGAGCTGACGGAATTTGGTCCTCATTAGTCTTCTCCCTTTCCACATCGTTTTGTCCTCCCGCTCAGACGCGGGCTCCCAGATGCATGCAGAAGATGACTCAGCAGGCTTGGCCAGCCCTGGAGAAAATCTTTGTTTCCTGACCAGCTGAAGAGTATGTTCTAAGGCATATTCAATTTCACAGTTGTAGACAAGTAAGGAAGAAAGGAAAACAATGGTGGGCATTTTTAAATAGTAAAAGGTCAGAATATCTATGGTTGGTAGGTTCTTAGTCATTTTTACAAAGTTTATTCAACTGAGGCGCTGAGGTCTCTTTTCTGCAGAGCCACCAAGGGGGCAAGGGCACACAGCATCTGGGGAGCAGACAGGGAAGGGACAGACATGGGGAAAACCGAAGCCAACCAGGAGTTAAGAGCTAGCATTTCATGTAGTGCTTAAAGTCTAGGTAGAAGGGGTTAAGTTTGATACCAACTGGGAGGAGAGAAGTGTTAAAGGATGTTCATTTGATTGGGAGAGGCCAAGTTACCTTTATAGAAGCAGTAATTTTTTTTTTTTTTTTTGAGCTAGGGTTTCACTATGCTGCCCAGGGTGATCTTAAACTTGTGGCAGCCACTTACCTACCTCAGTCTCCCAGGTAGCTAGAACTCAGGTGTGTGCCACCAGGCCTGGCTTCTTATTGGTAGTTAAGATACCTTGGTTGGGCTTGGGAGTGTAGCTTAGGGGAAGAGCACCTGCCTGTCATGTACCAAGTTCTAGGTTGGATCCCCAGCAGTGCAAAATGAAAGAAAAAAGAATTGGCAGTCAACTGCTGGCCTACCTCTGCAAAAGGGGAAGCGTTTCAAAATTCATTCGTCTTGTTCTTGTTGGATTGGGTACAGGGCACAAGAGAAAGTGAATTTGTGTTCAAAGCTGTCTTAGAACAATAATTTATGTACTTTGTGACTCCAGGCACAGTAAGCCCTCCGTAAACGTTTGTGGTTGAAATGCTGTGTGGATCCAAAGTAGGAATTTAAAAATCCACACACAATCCCTTTTCTCTTTCTAGTATTTGAAGTATGCTATGTACAAAGGCCTTGCATAAAATAAACCTCAGGCTTTTTTCTTCTTTTTTACGCACTTGTTTTTTAACTACACCTACTTTGCGGACTTCTGCAGGCCATGAGGGCCCCCACCCCACTCCTGCAGCTTTCTCTTTGGCCTGACCCCATTTCTCTTTAAGCCAGGTATCCCATTTAACATAAAAGGAGGAAAGTTTTCTTTCTCATTCTGTTATGTTCATTAAGAGTTCTCTTGTACAGATAAGAACAGTCCTGCTTGGGCTGGCAGCTAGTGGCTACTGGCTAGTTTTGTGAGTCTTGCTGGTGCAACTATATCACAACCAGATGGCCCGGCTACCTTCACTGCAGGCACAATGCCCAGAGGGAATTAAATCCTCCAAATAACCTTAAAGTTGTTCAGTGAAAATGTCACTATAACCTTTTTGCAATATGTTTTAAACTTGTGCTTTCTTTTTGCATTAAAAAAACCTTGTATTTACTTTTTAAACAATAGTCAGATGAAGCAAAATTTTTAAAGTTCAAAGAGTAAAATGCTCCCTCCCGCCCTCCCCCTTAACCCCTCCTCAGAGGCACTCAATGTACCTGTGGATGGTGCACATGCTTCAAGTATACAGAAACAGATAAGCCACAGAAACGTACACTTTCCCTTCTCCTTACTTTTGTTACACAAAATAGCAGCAAAATGTACATACTCTTCTGCACCCAGATGTCTTAGTTTTTACACCTAACAATATATCTTGGAGACCATTCCACATCAGTTACTAAGCTTTATTCATTTTACATTCCAAAAACACACACAGCAGCCTATAGTATGATAATTTCTCTTTCCTCTATACTTGGGAGTTGATTTTCATCCATGTTTGTCCCTTGCTGGTGAATAGCTCTACCACAGGATGACTTCTAGTCATCTTTCTTTGACTGCCTTCTGGATCAAATGTTTTAATAATCATCAGTGCCTTTACATAGAGGATGAGCAAACAACTTGATGTGACTGAACCCCACAAGCACAGTGGAGTCACACTCCTACTAATTTAAACCACACCCTGAACAAGGTCCCTTCAGGTCATAAGGTGGGACTCCAAGGATTGATCTGTCTTCTGAGGCTATGGCATGTTTTTTCTTATTCCAGAAACTAGAATGAACCGAAGCATTCCTGTGGAGGTTGATGAATCAGAACCATACCCAAGCCAGTTGCTGAAGCCAATCCCAGAATATTCTCTGGAAGAGGAATCAGAACCACCTGCTCCAATTATAAGAAACATGGCACCCAACAGCTTGTCTGTACCCGGCCACCCTCACTGTGGCTCAGGAGACTTTGCTGAGGCTCACCCTCTCCTGAAACTTGCAAATCACCAGTGGCCTGTGTCCCAGCAAGTCACCTGCCTACGCACTAAAGTCCTGGAGGAGAGTGAAGACAGTTTCTTCAGGAGGCACCCAGATCCCGGCAAAGATTTTCCCTTAGGCTGCTCTACCACCAGCCAGCCTGAGTCTGAGTCTGCGGTTACAACCCTCCCCCCAGAGCATCAGTTTTCATTTATGCAAAAACGTAATCCATGGTTGGGATCTCAGCTTTCAGCAGCTTCTCCTGACACTGGCCATGACTCAGGCAAATCAGACCAAAGTTTACCTAATGCCTCAGCAGACTCCTCGGGCAGTGGCCAAGAGACAGTGCCACAGCCACAGCTCCACAGGAACCGAGCAGCCCCAGATCTGCCAACGATAGACACAGGATACGATTCCCAGCCCCAGGATGTCATGGGCATCAGGCAGCTGGAAAGGCCCCTGCCCCTCACCTCTGTGTGCTACCCTCAGGACCTCCCTGGCCCACTCAGGTCCAAGGAGTTCCTGCAGTTTGAACCTCAGAGGTACCTAGCATGTGCACAGATGCTACCTCCCCACCCGTCCCCACATGCTCCATGGAACTATCACTACCACTGTCCTGGAAGGCCCGATCACCAGGTACCATGTAAGTGCTCTTTTTGCTTCTGGACCTTCTGGGCTGGGCGACCAAGGAAACAAGACCTCACATCGGTGCCCCCTGTCACAAGACCAGCATAGCGAGGGCATAGTGCAGGGAGGCATTCTACTACTTACAGAGGTTTGCCATGGGATTAAGTTTAGAAGGAGCCTTAAAAGAGTGCTTTTCCTTAGTCCAAAGCCAGTCTTACTTGGAACCTCCTTCTTTAGGAAAGTTTAAGGATGAAACAGATTCTTTTGTGAAGGTTAGTGGAACTGAAACCTGCCTAGAAGCAGAAAGATGACCCAAATGATTTCTAGAAAACTCTTCATTGTAATTCTTGGGCTTCTGGATTCTTCCTTCTCTGCATGCTTCTTCCCTACCTTACACTTGCCAGAGAAAGAGGTGGGACGTGGGTACGCTGCCTGCTCCAAGTGCCCCGTTGGGGGATGGGTGTGGTGTAGATTCCCTTAAGTATGAGTCACTGAGAACGGAACGGTGGCAAGGCCAGGGCTATGTTATTTCTAAGTGACTTCTAGATTAAAAGCGAATCATTTCTGATTATAGCAGTAATATTTCATCACTTTCCCCCAATTGAAATATGCCCAAAATTTTCAAAAAGAAAATAAAAAGTGTTTACATTTCTATCACCTAAATATGATTTCTTTATATTTTGATATGTTTATTTCTAACAGTTTTTCTCTTTGTATATACAGTTAATGTGAAATGAAAACTATTTCCAGAGACACTCAGTGCACTTTTCAGCATCACTCCAGAATGCTGCATGGTGTTTCACCAGATAGGTGCACTGAGCTGTTATTAACCTCTTCTCTACTGTTGAATATTTCCAGTAGTCTCCAGTCTCCTGATCCAATAAGCAATGCTATGACAAACATCATGCACAATAAGTTTTTTAATCTACATTTCTTATTAACGCCTTAGATGAGTGTGCAAAAGTGTGAATAGTTACTCAAAGGCTTTGTGACTCTAGGCCCAAGCAGTTGCCTTTATCTGCTAACAGGAGAAAGCCTGATTGTGGTAGACAAAGCGAGCACTGACTCAGTATAATAATGAGGGTCCTGGGAAGATCTTCCCACTGGAAAGCGTGTTTCCTGTTGAGACCTGAAATGGTGCCATTAGCAATCCAGTCTGCAGAGGTAAGCACTGCCCTCTCGGGCATCTCCTCTAACAGGCGAATATGCCCAGCTGAGAACACGTTTTGCCTCTGATACCTCGGGACCTGCTTTCTTTCATACATTCACCTTCCCCTTGCTGTTTTATTTCCTTTTATTGAAAGGGATTGGAAGGGGAATGTTTGGGTTTCTAGGAGTACAGAGAGGTGATGAAAGGCAGACAGGAGAAAAGTTGGACAGAGGATGGGAATAATTCACAGAAGTTATACAAACAGCTAATGTGCACGTGAAATGAAGCTCAACATCATTAGACTTAAGAAATGCAAAACTTTTACAGATAACTTTTCCTTGATTAGTGGTGCAAAAATGAAAACCTCAGGCAATACCTTGTATTAGTGAGGTGAGAAGAAAATGAATGCTCTCATCTATTCTTGGTAGGAATATAAATTGATGCAACCTTCTGGAAGATAATTTCACTACTTATCAGAATTTTGCTTCTCCCCCCTCTCTAGCCAACAATCTCATATGTAGTATCTATCCATGTAGAAACATTAAACATGCATATAAAACTATGTGCACCTGGGAATTTATCAAAGCATTGTTATAGTGGAATGAAAATGAAAACAAGTACACCACCTCACAGTAAGGGCTGGATAAGTGCAATGGTCTCTGACTTGAGATTTTTAACTTTACAATGGTGTGCAGTGAATAGTGGGTCAGTGGTTCAGAAACCAGAGTGAGCCGCAGCTCCCAGTCAGCCACAGGCTCAGGAGGATAAAGGATTCTACCCTATGATGCATTGTGTCACTGGGCCATGATGTTTTGGAGGCTAGGGCATTCAATGCATTTTTGACTTGATATTTTCAATGTACAGTGGGTTTATTGGGACACAGCCCCATCATAAATCAAAGAGCACCTGTAATGTCTGACATTTATACAATGATCTACTAGGCTGCTGCTGCAAAGAATAAAATACACTCTCACATAAAAAAAAGATAAAAAAGATGCAGTGTTGATCCCACATGTTTTTTTGAAAGTAATATATTTATATATATACATATTTAAATGTCTGGGACTGTGCTGATAACAGTGATGAGGTGGAGGAGAGCAAAGATTTAAAAGGACAAGGATATTTTCCTTTTAACTTTACGTACCTTTGTTAAAATTCTTATAACAGTCATTATTTTCATTAAAAATAAGTAAATGCTGGAAATAAAAATAGAAAAGTAAGGGAAGTAAGACCACATGGAAGGCACTAGTTGCCCTCGTTGACCTTGCATGTACCTTGGCCCTGGCTCCCAAGAGCATTTAACCACAGGGAAGTGGTCAAGATGTACAGTGCTTATGGCTTGTTGCAGGACTCTGCAGTCTCAGAATATTAATGAGGACCCAGCAGCAGTGACTCCTGGGAATGTTGCTGTGAGGATTAAATGAGATAATATATTAAAGGCTAGGAAAGTGGCTGGCTGCTAGTAAGCCCTCAACATTAGCTGCTCTTATTTATATTATTTTTAAATGGACCCTGAAGCCCAGCCCTGCAGAATGCACCTCTGCTTTCAGATTCTTCTCGCTGGCGCAGATTTTAAGCATTCAAAGCAGGCATATAAATGCTTAGTTTCATGTCAGGGCTATAACTGCACTTAATTGCCAACAAAACTGCTTCAGAAGAGCTGTTCACCAGAGGGATGCTCGTGCAGTGGAAGCCATGGCTACGTCGTTCTACTCAGCTTTAGAACAGCATTACCTCCTTGCCTGGTAATGAATATATAAATAAATAATGATTGCCATGCAAATGGCACAGCTTAGATTTCTGCAAGTTAAAACAAAAATGGTTGCTGGCCACCCCTTTCATATTGAAAACAAAGTTTTCAAAGCAGATAAAAATGAGAAATGGAATAACTCGTTTTCTCCACATCCCCAGGAGAAGTCGGCCTCTGCTACCTTGAAATCCTTCTACTGAAGGTCACCGGTGGAGTTCAGAGTCATGCAATCAAATAAAACCCACAGTGCAAATATACTGAGGAAAAAAGAAGAAATTAACAAGCCTTTATTTTATTATAGAAGTCTTATTTTCTCTGTCAGGGACACAATACCATAAAGCTATGGGTACACACAGGAGACCATAGCTCCCAAGGACCAAAAATGTGATTACTTGCATGCTAGAATGCACGCACAATTAAAGAAAGGAAAAAATAAACCAGAGAGAAGAAATAACAAAGGAAGGAGTTGTCTTGCAGGAGCCCCAGCTGCTTGCAGCTGTGGGAGCGCCTGTAATAAATAGTTTGCTGGCCATTTTATTTCCTGGCTAACCTGATTGCATTTTATCTTGATGTTTTTTGACAACTTGAAAAATCAGATTTTATTTCCTCTCTCATAAACTCCTTTAATACCATTCTTAATAAGGAAGAAAAATGTTGAATGTTTGCATTGATAAATGGAAAACCTCATTTAGGATTTGGTCAACAAATTCCAAGTGGTAAAGGCCCAGGACATGAAGATCCTGTGTACTCAGGCCAAGAGGGATCATAGAAATTACAAATAACATGTAGTCCTAGGTGCCCACTTAGGACTGTGCAAGATTTTCTCTTCTATTGTGTGATTAACAGCATCTCAGAACTGAGGAGTCACCATGCTAACAAATCATCTGTCTGTCATGTCACCCACCTTCCATCTCTCACAGAGTAAAAACTCTCTTGATGGAATGTTAGGCATTGTGGACAAGTCTGTGGGAAGCTATTTTTGAGCAGTGATTTTCAAGTAGGTGGCTGCCGACTTACATCCCTAACCCTTCTCACATGCTAGCTAGTGTGGGTTTGTGTTTAAAAACAGACGCCCACAGACTCACAGATTTCTCTCATTCTCTCCCCATTTATTTTGAGCTATTCAAAACTGTATTTTATTTATCTTTGTTCACAAAGTGCCTAGCCATAGGGATTCTATAAATATTTGTTGAATGAATAAAAAGAAATCTGTTCTCTACTTCCTGGGAAAAGGAGTGACCTGTAGTCATGAATAAAGTCTGTGAATCAAACTTTGGAACACCCACATTTAATTGTCTGAGAAGGAAGAAAGAATGGAGGAAAATGGAATTTGGAAGCAGAACCTGTCCTTCACTTATCAATTTATTCAACAAATATTTGCTAGGCCATTTCTAGCCACAGCACACAGTGGTAAATAGAACAACACTGACTTTGTTTTTATGGAGTTCACAGTCTACTGGGGTGACAGGAAAGAAGTAGAAATTAACACATGAAGTGACAATTATATATGCTATAAAGAAAAGAACCAGGTGTTGGAACAGACACTAATAGACAGGCTAGCCAGGTGCCTGTAATCCCAGCACTCAGGAGGCTGAGGCAGGAGGATCACTGTGAGTTAGAGCCAATCTGGGCCACAGTGAGTTCAAGGCCAGCCTGAACAAAGAAAGACCCTATCTCAAAAACCAAAACTAAAACCAGGCTGGACAGAAAATAACTCTTTGAAGAGAAAACTGAGCTGAACCTAAAGGACAAGAGGTCAAAGGAGCTTAATGGTGTTAAGGTATCAAGAGCAAGGCAGCAAGGCTGGAGGAGGGGAAGCAGTGAGACAACGATGTGCTAGAGGACAGAGGATGCAAGGGCCATGCTGGGGAATCTGATACTATTCTGAGTTCAACTACTTTTTTAGGAAAACAGAAAGGGTTTTCTAATCCTGAATAAGGAACCTAAAACAGTATTTGACATATAGCTAGCAATCAATAAATGTTAACCGGGGCTGGGGATTTAGCTCAGTGGCAAAGCGCCTGCCTGGCAAGCGCAAGGTCATGAGTTCGGTTCCCGGTACCAGAGAAAAACCAAAAAAAAAAAAAAAAATGTTAACCATTACTCTATATAGTACCCAACTAGACCAGCAAGCCTTGGTCATGATAATGGAACAGAATGATTAAAATAAAAGATAGTTACTTGCCTCATTAGTATACTTTTTTACCTAGCAATTTTTGCACATAACCAGCCAAATTTCCAGACAAAACCAGTCAAGTTTCCATTTACAAAAGGGAAAGCTTGCTGCTGTGGTGGCGCATGCCTATAATCCCAGGTACTCAAGAATTAGGAGGCTTAGGCAGGAGGATCACAAGATCAAGACTAGCCTGGGAAGCTACTTACTGAGAGTTTGTCTCAAAACAAAACAAAAAGGGATGGGGGAATAGCTCAGTTGTAGAGCACTTGCTGAGTGTGTGAGACCCTGGGTTCTACCACCGGTATGGCAAAAAAGAGGAGTCTGATTTTGGATTGACCTCTGATAGTTAATATTTCTTTGTTTTAAACAATGAAAGGACAGCATAGACTATACTGTGAGTACCCTAATTTTAAAAAATCAATGAGGTACATTATTTTCATCTGCTCACATAAACTGGTATAACTTTTTTACCACAGGTGGCCATTTCAGAAATGAAGTTCCAGCTAATCAAACACTTAGCCCACATGCCTTAGTGATTTTGATGATATGATTTGTTGCTATGAGACAAAAACATGTGTGCGGGAAATAATCTGCTAGAAATCATATGACCTTGATTCAAAGGCTTTTGATTAACAGCACTAACATCTGCTTTCTGGAAAAGAAACAAACCTTGTGATTATTGCTTGGTAGTCCTTTTAAGCAAATAAAACATTATTAGCCCCTCATTAATGGATATGGAAAGCAAAAATGGCTCCAAACATAAAAAACTTCACTTGAGTCATTTTCAGCTCCTCCCCTGGAAAAGCTTTCACGGCCACGGGCAATTTCTCCTCTTGGACCTCTCTTTCTCCCTACTTCTGGAGGGAGACATTGATTTAAAAAAAAAAAAAAAAAAGATACAGCAGACAAGTAGACAATCTAGGAGACCCAAGACCTAGTAAGCAGGCTGTGCAGTCTGAAGTGGCTTTGCTTCCACATGTAGGTCAGCTTTGTTACTACATATCCAGGCTTCACTCATTTACTGAGCTTTGTCCATATGGTGGTGTGATGCTTAGTGACACAGTAAGTCCTGCTTACACAAACCCCTGATGAGAATGAAGAGGAAAAACGCTGCATGATGAGGCACGCCTGTGATCCCAGCACTTGAGAGGCTGAGGCAGGAGAATACTGTGAGTTCCAGGCCAGCCTGGGTTACATAGTGAGTTCAAGGCTGAACTACAAAGAAAGACCCTGTCTCAAAAAACAAAACTAAAAATGAACCAAGTTTTCACTCATTTACTTCTTCATAGGAGGGAATAGCTGCATGTGTACATGTGCGTGTGTGTGGTGTGTGCGTGTGCCCCCTTAGGGAGAAGAAAGGCAAAAATAGCAATTCCGTATCTAGCATAGGGAAAATTTTTCTAGACTTGGGTTCTAGATACTTGGGAAATTACAGTAGGAATGACGATATGAGAGAAGCCCTTCATGCTTGGCTTATCCTAAATATCTTATTAAAATAGGAGTCTTTATAATTTTTTTTTAAAGTTCTTTGAGCTGTCTAATTAGAATACCAAAATCATGACTTCAGAGATGTATTTATTTAAAAAAAAAATGAAATCAGTTTCATGAAAACTATCAAGTAAGTAGTAGTACAGAAATATGGCAAATATCATAGAGTTGGTGACTGGTATCTGGACCTTTCTACTGGTATCAGACAACTGAATTTACCTCTCCTTTCACACAAAGGAGCTTGTCAGTCTTCCCTGTTCTTGTTTTCACCTATAGATGGCCATGATTACCCTCGAGCAGCCTACCAGCAAGTGATCCGGCCAACTGTGCCTGGGCAGCCCCTCCCTGGAGCAACTGTGAGAGGCCTGCACCCAGTACAAAAGGTCTTGCTGAATTATCCCAGCCCACAGATCCAAGAAGAGAGGCCTGGGGGGAGAGACTGTTCCTTCCCAGGGCTTCCAAGGTACCAGTAAGTATGGCAGGGCCAACCTTCACAGATTTCTAACATGAGGAAGAATTGTGCCAATGAAACCAAGATGTATCAAAATTCTCTGTAGGCTTGCTACCCAGGTTAGAGACAGTCACACAGTAGAACACTCACTATAAACTTTTCAGGTCAGAAAGAAATGGAAGCTGGTTGACAAGCATCTCTTTACCAGCATGTAAAGCCACTAGTGACTAGTCAAATTCTCTTCAAGGGAAAGCTCTGAAAATGCTCTGTAAGTTCCATCTCCTTTTACTTTCAGATTATCTAAATGTTTAGTTCACAAAATTGATTTTTAGTTTTACTATGACTAACTTCCACTTTGAGCAAGTTCTTCATATCTTTGGTTTCTTCCTATTTTTTACTTGAAATTTTAAAGTTTAATTACTTCCCAATAGAAATTTAAAATAACCTGTTATTTTATCTTCTAATAAAAACATTCACACATGTTGAATACTAGTACTGGATCTCTCCTATGCTTCTTCCAGAAAAACAATCCCAGCTTTTCCTGACTTTAATTGTCTTAACCCTTTGTATTAGTGTCTTCTGTTACTATAATAAAATATCTGAAGCCGGGTACTTTATAAAGGAAAGATGTTTATTTAGCTCATAGTTTTGGAGGTTGAAAGATCAAGCTACACAGCTCTGTCTGTTCAGGTCAATGGTAAGCTTTTTTAGCTTACATTTTTATATCTGTCTTTGTGAGAATCACTCAGGGTCCCAGAAGTACATCAGTTCTTTCCAAAGGCAGTACCCTCATGACCTAATTTTTCCCTCAGAGGCTGCACAAGACCTCCCGACACCACCATGCTGAGGACCAGGCTGCCAACACAGAACCGATATGGAACACCCAGATTACACCCAACCATAGCATCCTCTCCTCTTTCTTGCTCTTTTTTGACTCTTCTTCAAGTTTTTCTTTTCTCTTAATTTATGGATCTAAAATATAAAGATTTGTGTAAATGGAGCTCCCTAATTTATGACGCAATTAGAAAGAAAGTGGGTGAAATGTTTGTTCTTGTTGAAGTACAACTTTCACATGTCACTCAAACTAAAACTATTCTGTTTTTATAGGACAGAATCATATGTGAAGACACTATTAAAGTAGACTTTTCAGAAATATAGAAATTAATAATTAGCTTTTTTAAAAGCCCATTTTAACAGTGGTAAATAAGGTACATGCCTGTTTTTCCCTTTACTAGAAAATCCATAAGCCCTCATATTTTCTTTCCAGACAGATCCCTTGTTTTTCTAAAACAAAAACACATAAATTCTCAATAATAGAATTAAGGAAAATGTGATTTTACAGCGGGATAATCACTTTTATGGAGGAAATATCTCAAATTCCAAGAAAACAAAGAAACCAAATTTAAGCATCCTTATGAATTATGAAATAAGTTTGGTGCTGAATAGGGGAAGCAACTGTAATTTTTAAAATAGGTTTATTTTGAAATAATTTTAGATTTACAGAAGAGTGGTGAAGATAGAGCAGAGAAATTGGTTTCGTAGCATCAATTTAAATCTACTGTGGTCTCCTTGATTTATTTTATCATTTTAAGATAATGAAAAATGAGTTCAGGTAAAGAATTTAATTCTTCTCTTACTGATAATTCAAAAGAGAACTTCACTACAGAAAGTTTACTCTGCCATTAATCTCTATGATGTAGTTCTTACATGGAAATTTTTTTTATATTATCAGCCTGCACATTTCTTTAACAAGTGAGCCATCATCTTTTGTAACAACTAAGCAACTTTGTATTGAAAAGGGTCTAATGCAAAAAAATAAGAAACTGGGTCTCCATTAGATGCAAGTGTATTTTATAGGAATTATTTTATTATATTAACAAAAATATAAAGAAAATAACCTCCATAAACATTCATATTTTAGAAATATAGTATAATTGAGATATTATTTTAAATCCTGTTATATACGAACTTGAATCTTTTATTATCCTTGAGTAAAAACATGAAAGCATAACCAATAATCTACAAAAATTGGGCATACATATAAATCTGTAATCAAGCCATTTAAAAGTTTTTCAGTATGAAACAGTTTCAAACATACAACAAATAACAAGCATCCAATCCATGTTCCCACTATCCAGATTTTTAAAATGTTAACATATGGCCACATTTGGTTCAGAATTGTTTTTGATGAAATTAAACATTACAGTTACAATTTTAGTCTCCATACCAGTTAGGACTCAGTTACAGAAAGCAGAAACAATTCTAGCTGTTTTAGGCAGAAAGGGTTTTAATATAGAGAATTGGGTACTTAGAGAATTACTGGAGGTTGGAAGAGCAACCTCTAGACTGGGCTTCAGGGACTGATCCTAGAACAAGTCCACAAAACAAGATCACCAAAGAGGCTGCCTCCTTTAGCACACTCAGGAAGGTGAGGAATCAGAGAGCTGACACTGCTGTGGCCACTGCAGCGGGTAGATCCATTCTGTGCCTGCTAGACCCACAGTGGCAAAAGATGGACACTCATGTCTTTCCCTTGACATTTAGAAATCCGTTAATGGGATACTGGGATGCTTCTGAGGAAAACTAGCACCTCATGACTGCATGCAGCGTAAGAAGTGTCAGAAGTATGATTTTCATCTCCTTCTTCCTTCCAAACCTCACACAAGTGCATCGGATTGTACGTCCTCACAGAATGCTCGTGGGAAGACTGACAAAATACTAACACAGATACCATGTTGCAGTGTGATGGTAATTTCTTTTAAGGCTTCTTCTAAATCAGATTTTCATTCATATATTAACAACAGAAATACTTTTAAACCTACATGGCCTTTTTTACGTTTTGACACATGATTAAATGTTATCTATCATGAGCTAAAAGTCACATCTTTTTCATCTGAATGCCTACAACTGCAACCTATGTCACTCATCATGCTCCTTTGTTTGTTGATGACCTTGCCTGCCCTGTACATAGGACTTATTTTTCCAATTAGATAGTTCTTGAATACAGAAATCAAATCCTGCTTTCTTCTTCGACTCCTCACACAAGTCCTTACATATGGCAGCCAGCTGAACTGCTTGTTGACAGAAACTCCATGGAGCAGCCCTCTTTCTTTTCTGTCAGAGAGGAAATGGAGGCAGAGGAGTGAGATCATGCACTGGTATCTTCCCGTGATTTTAAAAGACGTTCTGTCTCCAAGGTATGTGTTTGTAGAAAAATGAAAATTTACTGTAAATGTCTTCCTTTCCAGGGACCAACTGCATCACCAGCCACCTAATGGGGCTGGAGCTCCTGAGGAGTCCTCTGAACACCCTGAAGAGCTGAGACCACAGGTTCCCCAGGCTCCATTCCCAGCTGCTGTGCCTAGACCCCCTAGTAACCCTTTACCCCGAGGAACTCTAAAAACAAGCAATTTGCCAGAAGAATTGCGTAAGTCTGCAATGCAGTTTTCTCCTTCTTCTGTTCATGTTTTGTACTTTGAGAATACTTCCTGATCATTCATCTGTATCCTCAGCTATTTCTCACATACACAGTGAAGATTTATTTTATTGCTTTTGCTTGAAAAGTAACCAGCATTTTGTATGACTGTTTTTAGCAATTCTGACACCACCAGTAATACTCACAAACTGCTTACCACTAGATTTTCTTCAACACATACTCCTACAACAAATAACCCAATGCCTTTTTCCTCTTCTAAACGGTGCTCCTAGGTGGACTTCTCCCTGGGTAAATTGATTGGATGTCTATGCGGTACTGGACAGAAACCTAGTGTCTTACCATAAATTAGCAGCAGCTATCAAGAACAAGGTCATTTCCTGTAGGAATGAGCAATCTTGTTTGGAAAAAAACAGTCTCACATTTGCCATACTGCTTCACAACCAAATGCAAACTAAGCCTTTTATTTAAAGAAACATTCCACCAAGTGTCAGGTGATGATTCTTTTTCCATATTTTGCTGCCAGAAACAGAAATGTTGAAATATCACCAAAATGTTCTCAGAATAAGGTCAGTCAGAATAGTTAACTCCAGAAATCTTAAGAAAACAGCCACTATTTGTGGATTTCTTATCCATTCTGCTTCCTAGAGAAGCTCAGGTAATTCTAATAATCTCTTTTCAAATCTGGGAAACTCTGAGCCAAACTTGACATGAAGCCCTTTGAATCTGCTAATACCTGTTGGGTGATCTATGCTCTTTCATCATTTACAACTCTGAAGGATTTCTATGACAATGATCCATTGTTTTCATTTGAACATTTATTTCTGAACATTTTAATCTTATGCAGTTTATTTTGAGCTTTTCTGTCATGCATGGAAAAGTCCCAGTGTCAGTCTACAGGGCATATCTATCTTACCATAACCTATAAAGGGGGCATAACCCTATTTTCATAGGAACTGGGTGAATAGTAGGTATAGAGAAGAAGTAGTGTGCTATCAATACACCTGGCTGCTTAAATGAGTTAATGTGGCCATTCTATACTCTTCCATTTGAGAGATGTGTTTTTAAAAACAGGGATCTAAGCATAGATGAATACATCCAAATATATATTTTCTCTTCTACTCTCCTTCTTCTCTACCCTGTGTCCTGGGGAGGCCCTTGAGATTTACCTAGTCCATTCCACACTAAAAGCCAACATACAGAAATCCTTCATCTCTCACATTAAAATGCTAGCCAGATGATTTCCCCAAAAGTTTTAGCCTGAGAAAACTCAGCTTCTCTTCCTGGCTGGGGCAAGCTTATTCCAACAGTACTGTCTGGGGCTCTAAGCTGGCCTGGGGATGAGAGTGGAGTCTGTGATGTTGGTCTGCCCTGAGGTGGTTTCTCTCCTTGAAGCTTCTGTTTCTCTGAAGCTACTGAAGTTTTACCAATACTTCTGAGCTGTTTGTTACTCTACTCCAATTTCCTGGCCTTTCTCCAAAAGTGAGTAGATCAGGGAAGAAACTGCTTTCTCACTGTGCCCCCACTTGTCAGTCAAGAAGAGTTCAGGGCAGCAGAGAACATCATGAGATCAAAAGAGGGCATCTCTAGGTGGCCCCTTAGCAAGGCTTCATTTCCGGCCTGCTTTGAGAGTATTTTCCTTGGGCACCATGCCAGATGTCTTTAAGAAACCAATCTGTGGCTTGAGCTTAAGGACCACAAGTTCTAGGCCATGGGTTTTTAGTTGTTGTTGTTGTTGTTGTTGTTGCTAATACTTCATGTGATTTTTCAGACCACTGAGGCTTGTCTGTCATTGCTTCCCTCTGTCCCTTCACCCTGAGCAGTCTGCACTCCCTGGCACAGGCCAGAGCCCCTCCAGCCTGAAGAGCCGTGCCCTGCAGACAGCAGTTCCCACAGCTGAGGGTGTCTGCTCTTGCAACACTCACCCCAAGGTTTCCCTTACAACACCAGATGGATAAAAGACAGTGCATATGACTTAGAAGTATTATGTAGAACAGAATAATTCAACTGTTTTCTAATAAATGTGAAATTTTTCTCTTAGGTAAAGTCTTTATCACTTATTCTATGGACACAGCTATGGAGGTGGTGAAATTAGTGAACTTTTTGTTGGTAAATGGCTTCCAAACTGCGGTAAGTATTTTGTCCAAAGAGAAAACTGAACAGTTGAAGTACAGTGACAAGAAAAGCATATGATAAAGGATAAATAGCTGATGCTTCACAGATTTATGTGATTCTCAACTAAGTGTTTATGGATTTAGGTCATTATTTTCTAAATTTTAAACTACCCAAAGTCCCCAGCATTTTCCCCCATATGCTTTTTGTATGACCCTGACTACCTCCAAGGGGCAAGAATGCTGCTAATGCTGACCATAAAGACAGCCGGCCCCTGTCCTGGAGGAAAAGCCAGGCTCTTGTTATGCTTTGTACCTTTGTCCCTTCTCACCAGTTGTGCTCCCTGTGATGCGGGAAGCTGCAGACCTCCCCACTGTCACCTGCTTGTTTAACAAGGTCCTTTTGTTCTGCACTGGATTTGAGGTTTGAAGTAGAACCCTGGTAACCTGGGTCCCCCACCACACAAAGCTGCCCTTCTACACCTTGATCTAGGGGAAGCAGAACTAACCCAGCCCTGCAGGTCCACTGTGATCTTGGTCCAAGCAATCTCAAGTGCATACTCCTCCTGTCCCCTGAAAATGCACAGCTTGAAGCCATGTAAGTTTTTCTTTACGATAAACAAAATACCACAGGACACTACTCAGAGGGCTGGCTTTCCTCAAACACTGAGATCACTTCTTTTCCCTCCCAGAGGCCTCTTCTAGGTATTTAGTAAGAGTAAATTCTATTGAGTAGTGAAAAATTCACAGTAGATGAATAAGAATGTTGAAGAATAAAGAGGAGTAAAAATAGAGGAAAAAGAGGTTACTTAACACTGTTTAACAATCTTTATTTGAAGTTTTCTTTATTCTATAATTTTTTTAAAATGAGAATGTCAAAAAGTTTAAAAATATGCCTATAACTTACACATCCTAACTGCATGACTACAGAGAGTCTAAGATTTCATTTTGTCATTTCTGGAGTAAGAAAGTAGTATGGTAATGGTGACATAAAATCAATGCATAAGACACAAGGTCAACATTTCCACAGAGATTTTACCTTTCATCTTTTTCAAATATACTGATTGTCACTGGAGAAGAGCCCAGCTTTTTTGACCTTAACAATCAGGGACTATTTAGGCAGAATTTAAATCTGTCCTTGACCCTCATCTTATGAAGCCTTGAGATGGAATCACAGAGCCCATCCTGGACAGCTATGCTAGTATTGATGTGTCAGGATCCTCTGTCCCCTATGGATACATCAAGTGGAATGGATTCCTTCATGGGGAATTTGAGGCGGGATGACTACAAAGCCCCAAGACTTTTAGTAACTGAAAGAATGTCATAATGTGTTAATTGTATAGTACACTAGTGGTCATAGCGGGAGGAGAGGTTGGTGAAGTGAAGAGGAGGAGGTTAATGTATGGGAGGTATTCGCAGGGTAGGGGGTTTGTATTGTGTTTTTAGCATGCACGGGACACCAATAAGGGGAGTAAAGGAGACAGATCACATGGCATTAAGAGGTAGGAGGCTTGATGATGGCTGGGACTTGTCCCGATTAGTCTTAAATGGCAAAGTGATATTCATGACAATTAATCTGGCAGCAGAATGGCTGAATCAAATAACCCTTTCTCCGAGTCACCCAGTATATGATCTCTCTTCTAATCAAGAGTCCCTTGCACACACACACACACACACACACACACACACACACACTCCTCACTACAAGTCTGAGCCCCAAAAGGCTTTCCCGTTTGGTCATCTGTAAAATAGAAAATAACTGATTAGAGTTTTCTTTTCTTTGAATACCCCTTCAAAGACTTGAAGACTGATACTAAATACAAGTCTTATGAAGTCCCAAGAGTTCTTCTTGACTTCCACCATAAACCTTTTCACTACTATTTCAATGATTGTTTTGGCTACTGTTCCTTGCCTTGGCTCCAAGTTTCATACACTCCTTTTGAAATGGATAGACTGAAACTGGAAATAATATAATAATGACCTGAATAATGCAAGTAGAACACCACAGTTGTGTCTCAGAATTTGTACAGCACACATACAGAATTACATAATTATGCTTGCTTTTCAAACTTTCAAATTTCAGATATCTGTAAATATAATGCATCTGGCTTACATCCAGTTTAATACACTGTGTCCCTCAGGCCTTTAAAAACATTTATATAGCCGCAGATCCATTCAGTGTGAACCACTATATTCTAATTATAGATATTAAATACTTAAATGCCTACTAATGTCAAGATAGGCAATATTTTATGAAAATTCTGTTTTGCTTTTTGGATTTATGTGTTCTTCCTTGCAAAAAGCACTAGGAACTTTTTGAGTTGCAAATGTATATAGCCTGTTGTGTTTTTTCAGCCTCTGCATCCAGACAGAGTGTCTCATTAAGAGCCAATTCCCACATCTTTTTCTTGTAGATTGACATATTTGAGGATAGAATCCGAGGCATTGATATCATTAAGTGGATGGAGCGCTACCTTCGGGATGTAAGTATATTCCAAAATTTTGAGAATATTTGCTGGGAAGCAAGACAATTAGCTTGTGAAGCTGTTTTATGGGAGAAGCCCTGGCATATCCACCCGAGTCTGAAGCTGAGAAATTCTGAACAAAGCCTGCGTTGTTGGAAGCCATGCAGAGACTTGGAAAGGAAGGATGGGGTCACCCTCCTGGACATGCCCAGGCAGGAAATAACGGTCAAACCAGACACAGGTGGTTGATAACAATCAGAGCAAACAATTTCTAGACCAGAATAGGAAAGGAGGAAATGAAGGCAGGGAGTGGAGAGGGAGCAGCAGAATTCAATTGAATCTGAGGCCACCCCAAGTGTTTTGTAGGACTGGGCTGAAGAGGTTTCCCAGGCAGCCTCGCAGGCTGCACAGCATGCCACCCCCGAGGCGCCCACTCGCAGCCCCGTGATTTGTTTTCCACTGACAGAATCTATACCAGCCACTGAGACACTTTGTGCTTTAACAAGATAGAAATTGATTGCTGCCAGTGTGTCTGTGTCCACAGCAGCTTCTTTGGGCGGGAGTAGGGGTGGGGGCGGGAGTCTCAGCAGGCTGGGGTTTTGCAGCTTTTCCTTTTGTCTGCAGCCTAATGTTTGCTTTGTGTGGAAGGGTCTCCTCCTACTGACTGTGCTAATGCAGACGTGGAAAGCAGGGCAGTGGAGAGTGCAGTAACTGACAGCTCAGATCCAGCTGCAGAGAGGGAGGGAGAATCTTTTCATCCCTGAGCCTGCAGTGCTTTTTCCCCATAATGCAGACTAACTTAGTGATTCAGGCTGTCATTAGACATATTAGAGATGCTTGTAGAAAATGGTGGGCAAAAGTCTATCTGCTTAGGAGAGCTTCTCTCTGAGCCATTTGCTCAGCGCATCTGAGAGGAGCTGGGCAGGGAGGCAGCGAAGAGAAGTGGAGAGCAGAGTGTGCCTGAGTGGAGCCAATGCCTTCTGCTTTCCACAGAGGGGGACCCTGGCTCCAGTCCTCGAGCAGGTCAGGGGATGCTCATCGTCCTGCTGGCCAGTTTCCAGCCAGCTGTCACCAAATGGACCGCACTTCCCAGTTCCATAAACATGCTTTTCTCCCTCTCATTAACAGAAAACAGTGATGATAATCGTAGCAATCAGCCCCAAATACAAACAGGATGTGGAAGGCGCTGAGTCGCAGCTGGACGAGGATGAGCACGGCTTACATACTAAGTACATTCATCGAATGGTAAGTGATGAGGGGACCATAGGGCCTCCCTGCCCCTTAAGGAAGGGCATTTTCTCCAGGAAAGGCCATTTCTTCACTGAAGACCAACTGAAGGCTCATGGTGCTGGGCAAAGAATCCCAAGCAGGCCTCCAGTGTCAGGGCAGGGGATGTGGGTTGTGGCTCTGTTTACCTTTAAGACCCTTGTTTAGTCACCACATCTCTGAAAGGACGCAGCATTCCCATCAGTAAAAGAAGAGAACAATATTCAGCCTCTAGGAGCTGTGATTCTGGAAAGCAGTGCTACGCTGGCCTGGTTGTTTGCTAACTGTGACATTCTAGGAGGGTGGGAGACAGGACTGTGAAGAGGATGAGCTTCTGCACCTGAGTCACATTCTGTCCCCTGGTGTGTGTGTGTGTGTGTGTGTGTGTGTGTGTGTGTGGTGCTGGGGATTGGACCCAGGACCTTCACACTAGACTATATCCCCAGCTGGCCACCCCACGTTTTTTCTCTTTTTATTTTGAGACAGGGTCTCTCCAAGTTGCCCAGGCTGGGGTTGAACTTGCAATCCCCCTGCCTCAGCCTTCCAAAGTGTTTGACCCAGAGGTGTGTGCTACCAAGCCCCACTGTCCCCTGCCTTTTCAGAGAGGCAGGAAAACAGAGTGGAAGGGATACATACTGCTGCATCCGATAGGCTTGGTTCAAATTCCCTAATGTGATTGTGGCCCAACTGCTTTCAATCTTCCCATGTCTCTGTCTCTCTGTTCATAAAATGGGCACTAACACAGCACTGTGAAGATGAAATGAAGTGTGTTTGTGAAGTATCTGACGCATCTCAGGTGCTTATCAAAGGGATTGTTCTTAGCTCATGACAGGTGGGGAATGAGGCCTGGTCAAATTTAAACTGGTAAGACAAATTTAGAAGAAATGTGACTTGCTCAATGTCTGAGAACATTTTAAGTGAACATATCACCCAACTTTGAAACTGGCTCTTTATGGCAGAGAAATCTTTCTCCTCTCCATGGTTTTAGAGATGCTGTGGAGACCATTTCAGCTTGACCAGGAAGCCAGGCTAGACTTGTGACTTCTGAACTGCCCTGCAGAATCCCTAACAGGCGCCCATGTGTCCTGGAGGTGGAGCTGGCTCTTGGCTTCCACCTTAACCAGGGGTGGTTTGCATTTCTCAAGCTGTTCACCAAGGATTCTGAGATTTTGAAAAACCCACTGAGCTAAAAGTTATAAGCTCTACTTCAGCTGTGACCCTACATAAAGGCGGGGGCAATGGGGTGAGCACAAAGGATCACTGACTAAGGTGGGTCTGTGGGGCAGAAAGCAGAGAGCAGCACAGTACAGGAAGCACCCAGCCAGTGTCAGGACGGTCAACTTTCCTCTGAGCAAGTGAAGGCAAATTCCAGGTCTGTCCTGTGGTTCAGGAGCACAGAAAAAGGGCAGATGGGTGGGCAAGTGGGTGTCCCCATTTGGATCTTTAGGGTCTCTGTCTCTTCATCTGCCAAGTGTGGACTGCTCATTTGAGCTCTTAACCAACTCAAAGCAAAAGCCCAGGGAAGGTGGAGAGGTTAAAAGTAAGGCTAGGAGTCTGGAAGGAAATCTCTCTCCTATTCCACTGTTACCTAGCCTGATCCCTATGATCAGGGATCAGAAAGGTATTTCTAGAAGTAAACTGACCTAAAAGATAATGGCTGGCTCTGGGTTCTGTGGTCCCTTGACTATGCCATATCTACGTGTCCCCGGAACACCTGATGGATGTCCTATCTGCATTGCTAAGAACCTGCCAGTCCCAGGATCCCACAGCTGTTGTGTCAGGAGGGCTCCAGATCCCTACCAGTTCCTGAGGAAGCCTATCTAGCCCTGCTGATGTGTGGCAAAGCCAGACAGCAATACAAGTCTCAACTGCAGAACTTGGCTGGCTGTGCCAGCTGTGAACACATCGTCTCCAAACTTGGTTTCTTGGGCACCAGTGCTTTGGGCCTTCTCCATCATAGAAAGATTTGAATTGGCCAGATAACCTTCCTGCCCACCTGGCTGACTTCTTGGTCCCCTGCAGGCAACAGAAAGCCTGGTATGATAAGAGCTTGACCATGACAGAAACTGTATCATAGAGCAAACACTCCACAGAATGCCGATATCTGAAAGTATAAGAAACAGTAAAAATGAACTGTCACTGGCTAGTCCCTGGGTAGCCTTGTTGACAGGCCAGACTTCACACTACAGAGTTCTAGCAGTTAGAAAGGAAACTGATCCTTCACTTAACTTGCAGACCCCTGCCCTTCCTTTCCTGTGTTTGATCTGTGCTGTTGTGGTCAGGACTGTTAGATGCACAGTACTTGGGGCATTTGAAAGTATATTTTTGGAGCTGTCTTCTGATTTTTGAAGAGAAGTGGTCCTGAGAGAACACCTTGTGGCAGATTTGTGTTGTGTGATTGTTAGTACATGAGAGTGGGTGATTGTGAGGGGTCTCTATGGTTATTTCAGTAACAGGTCATCACCACTGTCACTTTCTTTACTTCTGTTTTTATAACTATGTGTTATGGAGACTTCTTGGTTATAAAAATCAATAAGATGCAATGGTTGGGAACACATAATTCTTCATCTCATTGTTATCAGATGACTGAAAGCTCTGTGTTGGTCTCAGCATTTGGAAGACTGTAACTCCCTTGCTATTGAAAATTCTGATTTTGATAGAGTTCTTGGCAGCTAAATCTTCTTGGGCCACCACAGCGTGAGAACGAATTAAACTGGTATGGGAACCTCAGGCGTGGCTGACTGGGCTCTACGCAACTGTCCTCCCAGCTTCTCCCACTGTCTCCCTACTGTCTGCCAAGCCCACCAGCTTTCCAGCTGCAGTGGATTGCTAGCTGTCCCAACAACTCTGACATTCTCCACAGTTCCAGACTCGCTTCCTCTCTGTGCTCTGCTGAGACTGTCCTTCCCCCACTCCATCCTGTACCTCACCAAAAATCTTTCCACACCAAAATGATCCCTTCTTTGTAACCGTTCTTCAGAACCCTTGATGCAGAATGGACAGCCCCCATTGTTCCTTCTTTTCACACTGCCTTCTGGTTGGTAATTTTCTTTCCTGTCTGCTCCTAGACTATTGTCTTTGGGAGGATAGGAACAGTATCAGTGCTATTTTGCTAAACTAGCTCTCAAAAAAAAAAAAATCTGGATTTGTAGCACTTACCCATTTCCATGGTATAAATACTCTCACCATGGGAAATTTCATGCTACTAATAAAATGTGAAGTTACTGAACACAAAATTGGGAAGATGTGCACACGGCTTGCTCCTAGAGCTGATGCAAGCCGCACCAGCACACTCTGGAGTGTGCCCTAATCCTGAAAACCCAGAGTCTAGCACAGAATGTGACTTTTGAGAAATGACTGATAAATGAGTGTAAGGCACAGTGTATAATGAGAAGGGCTTGAGGTTCTAAGTATGTGGGCTATTGAACAAGGCAAGCAAAATACTATGTGGGCCTGCATTATTGTGACTACAACTAACACCTCATTCCTAAAGTTAAACCTTCATATTTGTTTGGTTTCAGATGCAGATTGAGTTCATAAAACAAGGAAGCATGAATTTCAGATTCATCCCTGTGCTCTTCCCAAATGCCAAGAAGGTAAGCAACCAACCAAACAAAAAGTCTTACACTTCATGCTCTGGTTTGTTTGCCATTGGGGTTTTAAGAAGAAAACCTTGTCAACTCTTTGTCAGTCCTTAGAGATAATGGTGTTAGCAGAATGACCAACAAGTTTTATCACTCAGGTTAGCAGCACAAATCAGAAAGGTCTGAATGTGTTATCTGACAGGATCCTGGCTCTCTAATTGTTCAGACAGCCACAACATACAAAGAAGTAGTTTGTATTTTAACTCATGAGAGAATCAGAGACCATTTACTGATACTTCTTATTGCTTGCACATGTGAGTGACGATGTGGATATTACTGCTGCTTGTTCCCCATAGTATTTTGTTGTACACAGTTCAGTTCTCAAAGCTGTAGACCATAGGAGTTAAATTTGCATAGTCACTTACATGGGCTCTGTTATGATCCATATGAGGATCTGAAGACAGGCTCACTCACTGGGGGCATTGGAGGGTATGTTCTAGGCCTGGCAAAGGGAAGGCGTTGGTGAAGTAAACACACTGAGAATCAGAAGAGCAAACTGAACTCTGTCCCCAAGCTTCACCTTAGAGAATACCTAGATGTCAGGGCTGCATAAGACCTCTGTGCTGGATGAGTGAGGTTCCAGTTATGGGAGTGGGACACATAAGGCTGTGTGATAGTATGCCTTCTCTACCCCCTTACCCAGGGACTCACTGCTCTCACTGACCAGTGAGTTACCTTACTGGTCTCCACTCTGACCTATACTAGACATCCTCTGCTCTATCCATGAGGAACCTCTAAAATGTTGATCTGACCTGCCTCTCTCCAGCTGAAAATTTTAGTGGGATTTTCCCCACTCTCTACAAAATCACATTTGCCTTTCTGAGTTCGGCATGAGGCCCCTCAGAAGAAAACTGGGCACTCCTCAGTCTTCTGTCTTATCGCCTTGTGCCCTATGCTTTAGTTATACTGGACCATTTCAGCACACCTTCACACATGCCACGTCTTCTCATGTCCCCATGTCTCTGCCCTTCCTGTTCCCTCTGTCAGCCTAGTAAACTTTTGCTTATCCCTGTTTCATCCCATGTCTCTAGACTCCCTTGAGACCTCCCTTCCCCTATACTGGTATATTCACTGTCTCTCTCTTGAGTGCTCTTATAGTATCTCCTGTCAATGGTATGTAGGTGGAGGTGGGAGTGCTGGGAATAATTATTTAAAATTAACAGAGCATGATGATATAAAAAAGTCCAACTTCTAGTTACTTCATTACAGTTTTTAAAACCTCTTCAGATAATGGCCTTATTGCCTGAGCTGAGGACAGACTGCTCCCAGTATGGGTCTCATTGCTATACCACTGCCTAGAAAAGAGAAATATATACATTTTGCCACCATGTAAGATTTTGAACTTAAGACAGTTACTGTGTCTTTTTCAGTGACTATCTTCCATACTCAGCATGATGCCTGACCTATACCAGGGGCTGCTTCTAAACTCCTACAGTTCCCAAAAGAACCATCTCAAAATAAAACTTTGCAAGGCCCTGTATCTATTACAGACCCCTCTACTTCTGGATACCACCTATTCACTCTCACTCCCTCTGCTCTAACCACACTGGCCTTGCTTTTGAATAGGCTTGGCATGCCAGCCACAGACCTTTGCACTGGCTAGGTATCTATCTGGCTGGACAGCACAAACACAAAGCTGTCAGTGGACCTTTCCTAAACACTTTCCTTTCCAAAACACTTCTTTTAAAACTGCAAACCTTTTACCCTTGCCCTAGCACTTCCTTCCCCTTTTTCTGGTTTATTTTACTCCACGGCACATAGTACTGTTGAACAAACTACCCACTACTTATCTGTCTGGCCAAAGCAGAACATCCGCTACAGAAGAGCAGTCAAAAACTGAGCCCCCAGGATGATAGGCTTTCGGGTCCTGCCTTTACCTGGTAAGCAAGGTCTGATAGGTTCCTTCTAATGCAGGCCAGAGTGAAAGGATAATGAGTTAGATTAATCCCATAGGCTTGGCATCCATCTCCTGAAGTCACAGGGGAATTCACATCACTCTGGGTGACCTCTGTCCCACCCCTTTTATGTGAGGGTGGTGAAAAGCACATTGAAATGTGAAGGGCAGGTAGCCTGGGAGACTGACAGAAAATGCTGTGCACATGTGGTTTCCATAATGAGATCTACAGCTTGCACCCGAAGCCAAGAGTGTTTCACATGCTAAACCCTTCCAAAAGCAAAACAACATTACTCCCAGGCTAATTTGGTAGGAAACGCCCATGAAGGGAGAGCCAGAGATGTTTGGGAACGAAGCCTGGGATCTGGAATCCAGGTTTTTCCTCTAGTGACCTTTGCTCCTGTCATTCTCTCTCCTGCAGGAGCATGTGCCCACCTGGCTTCAGAACACTCACGTTTACAGCTGGCCCAAGAACAAAAAAAAAATCCTGCTGCGCCTGCTCAGAGAGGAAGAGTATGTGGCTCCTCCCCGGGGGCCTCTGCCCACCCTTCAGGTGGTACCCTTGTGATACCAGCCAGTCTCAGACCACTGGGGCCATGCCAAGCTTGGGGGCCTGTTCTGACAGCATTCTTTTAGTTGATGCTGGTCTGTGACACTCATGGCAGCTTCTCAGCATATCTCTCTTCTGCAGCATATTTGCCCCCAACGACAGGCTGCTCTGCATTTCTTGCTTTGCAAAGATCTGCTAAAGGTGCCCATGAATGGCATGTTCCTTTGTACAGTCTGATGTGTCCACTCTAGGCCTCACGATGCTTAGTGAGTAGACAATGTAAGTCGGTGATACAGCAACAAATGTTAAATGACCAAACACTCCTGTTGCTACAGGCTACTTTTATGAGTTAGCCAGATGTTTGCGTGTCCTCAGGCCATACTGCTCCATGTACAAATAATAAAATGTTTACTCTTTCCTAAGAGTGTGTTTCACTTATCTCAAAGGAGATAAACATATATTAATTTATAATGATATCGGCAGCTGCTTCCCAGGACGTCAACAAAGCTGCTAAGATATAATATTAGATAAGTGTAACAGACTTCTCTGTATTAGGGGATTAAAGCCAGATAGTTAAACACCCTTTTTAACATAATTATAAAAGCTTTATTCTTATAATAAAGATTTTTAATAAAACCACTCTGTACAACACACGAGTGTGATTCTAAATAGTGTTATTAGGCTGAGTGTGTAGCTCAGTGATACAGTGCTTGCCTAACATACAAAAGGCCCTGGGTTCAATCCCCAGCACCACAAAAATCGAAACAGTGTGAGTATGGTTTTTAGAGTCTGACTGTATATGTACAAATATGTGAGTATGTGTATGAATTGACAGGGGATATGTAATGTAGGCTAGAGCTGTGGTTTAGGAGACCTTTGTTCTAGTTCTGGTGCTTTTACTAACCGCCTGTGTGGTCTTTGGCAAGTCCTTTGTTTTTTCTGAGGCAGAGGGGACTCATTTATAAAGTGACATGAAGACAATATCTCTAATGACCCTAAAAGTTCTGGACTCTAAATTCTAAATATTCTTTTGAGGAGTGACTGATTTTTTATTTTCATAATTGTCTCCCAGATGAAAATTTTACATTTTCTCTTTGGGGGAATTAAATTTATTTTTAATTGATTGATAAAAGCATAGAAATTGTACAGTGGGTATATTTTCTTAAAAAGAAACTTAAAAAAATATCTTCAACAATACCTGCAGTTAATAATTTTGGAAACACATATATTCACATATATGTACAGGTTATCTGACCTGCAAAACAAAAACACACATACACAGCTATATATAAATATGTACATAAAGTTTACCTAAATGGTGGAACAAGGTAGGATGGCTTTGTAGCCCAAGATAATAGGTCAGTCTGAAACCCTGGGGCCTGAGAATTACTGTTTCCCCTTGCCTGTCTACCTAATCTCTTAAACAAGGTTCAACTCTTAATTTCATCATAGCTAAAGAACAAATATTTGTCAATTATCAATAAGAAAGGTTGCTAAAGAAATTGTAAAGAATGCTAGTTTCATTCACTTTGTAACTTAGAGGTCTTCTAGGTAAGGTAAATGTTTTTTTTTTTTTTTTTAAAAAATAGGAACATAAAAGAAAAGCTTGTACAGTTTAAGTACTTGTTTGTCAGACTTTATGACAAGAACTTTTAATTATGTAGCATTTGAGACCTAGTGGAACTGAGTTTTTGCTTGGTCAACTCAAAATTGTTGGAAAACACCCCGAACACTAATTTCAAGTCTCCTTTCTCTCTTTTTATTTCTTTGGTTCAAGGTGACCCCATTATGGAGGATTCTACACACAATAAACCATATCAACATTCTTACTCTGAATTGTTTGTAATTTGCAAAGATTTAGTAATGTGTTGTTCTCCTCTCTTCAGAGACCTGTTCTGAGCTCTCACTCACTAGTTCTTTCAACTCGTTCTACCCCAGGTGGTTAAGAGAAAAGTCCCTGGTGTTCCACCAATAATTATTAAAGTGTTACAGCTGGTAGCATTGGTAGCAAAAAAACAAAAACAAAAAGTACACACACACACACACACACACACACACACACACACACACACACACCTGGCCAAGTGATGACAGCCTGGGCCCTACAGTTTCTGTGAAATCTGATGACTACTAACATCAAAGGAATTTTAACAACTATTTTAGAGCACAGACACTCAGATTAACACTTGGTTTATTTAGACGTCATTATGATCCCTGTGCATTCATCTGTAGATATTTGGGGGATGGAAGTGGGTAGGGTTGACTTAGTAAAAATAACTCAACCCCAAGGCTTTATCCAGACCTAAATTTATTTTGGGAGTAGGGAGGTGTGGAATGTAACCTTAGATTCTTCTCTAATATTTAGTGGCAAATTTAGAATTTTAAATGTAATTTTAATGGTTTCAGAAACTACCTGCCTGTCTAGTTTAATTTAACTTCCATATTGTTCAAAGACATGTCTATAATAGAGGTATTAGACTATTTCTCAGCTCAGCCTCAGAAAAATTATTGCTGTTGATACCCTTTTAAAATCACTTCTTTAATGATTGAGTGCTTCTCAGAGTCATCTCAGCAAAGGATGCAAGCTCCCTGTTTCAAACATTCCATCCTTGTTTCATGATGTTTTTGCTAAGAGCATTTTTGCTAACCCCAGCCACTTGTCAACCACCTCATCCACTTTGCCAAACACCCCATTGTCACCATTACCTTTGCCAAATGGATTACACAGTCCTATGATCATTGGGAAATGATCCAGAAAGAGTGTCTCAAAACACAAGATCTTTATGTTTCTTCTTAGTGAACCAAGAAGAATCAGTGAGACCCACCTCCTAATAGCAAAGGAAAAGAAGGAAGATTACACTGTGAGAAAATGACACAAAGAAGCAATGCCTCTCATTCTGGAGAACTATGTAAAATTTTTCAAGATAAGTAGCTTAATATGAGACCACTGACCAAATAAACAACAAACTATAAGGAAAGAAGAAAGCATCAAAATAATTAAATTTTCAGATTATTTATTTCTGTCATGGGATTTGCAGCCTGGAAGAAACCTAGAAATCACACACACTCTGCAGCTTTATTTTATATGATAGGGAAGCAAGACCAAAGAAACTGACTTGTCAAAGTCCACCCTCGGGCTAGGACCCAGGTGTTCTGATAACCAGACTGCAGATATTGATTGGTAAGCCTTAAAAGCTTTTCTGAGTTTTGATGGGAGATTTTCTTGACAAATGACCCAGTCTCTCCCTGAGGGATGAAAAGCTTCATGAACATGGGAGGTCTGAGGGAAGATGTGCCTCCTACCTGTCCTCTGGTGGCTGGAGGATTAAATGATCCTGTTGCAACTTGCTCTGTGACAAATTCTTCAGGGATTAATTATTGCTGTGATTATATGGAGTATAGCTTTTCTTGAAGTGACTTGGCATATTTATTTTGCACTGGTATTACGTGAAATTTAAAAGGTCTTGACACCTTCCTGGAGCTTACAGATGAATCTGCTATTTGATCAATTTCTTTTATTTTTGTCTGGCCAGTGTCCAAAGCATCAATGATGAAAGGGGATTTTGTTTTATTTATTTCTATTTACTTAATTTATTTTGAGACAAGTTCTTACTATGTTGTCCTAGCTGGCCTCAAACTCCTGAGTTCAAATGATCCCTCTACACAGTTGGGACTACAGGTATCTGCCATCCTGCCTGGTAGAGTTTTAGTTTTAAATATTGTGATAATTCATCTTTCTCTCACACTTTAGACTCTACAAAGGTGGCACTTGTTGGAATAATAGTTGTGGAGATAAGAGAATATGGGGTCACCCTAACTCTCCTTTGAGTGGGACGTGGCTTCAGGAAGGACACTGTTACCATCAGGAACATCAACCACACAAAGCAGCCTAGCTGCTCAGTCAGCACAGTTGGCATTCTGGGAGACCTTGCATCCACTCAGGGTAGCATGCTCCTACCGTCATCCTGACATTTGCATTTTCTGTTGGAAAAAGAAAGAGTCACAGGATATTTGATGGAAGGTAGGTGGCTTTCACAGACTCACCCATGTTGGCCACACTCCCCACCCATATTTGCTCTCTAGTTCTTAGCTCCAAGCCAAGCAGATGGGACCTATAAGAGGAACAGTTAGTGTAGGTGAGTTTTCTACTTGATTTTTCAAGGAACCTGTGCATGCAGGTCCAGGTCACATTTATTTGGGTGATTAGGAAGTGCTATTTGAGCCTTTACTATACAATGAGTCTTGGTCAGAGTGTACCTGGGCAAAGGTGACCACATACTGGGCTTGCCTGTTCATTTCTAGAAACTCTCCGATGGAAAAAGGGATTGCAGCCCCAGATCTCTCAGGACTTGTAAATTAAAACCAGGAGGGCACACATTTCTTGCCCCCTGTGTGACCTCCCTTTGCTCCTTTCACCAGGAAGGCACTGACAATAAAAGGCAGCTGGGGAGGGTAATGGGGAGCAAGCATGAGAGAACTCCTGCCTGATGGATCCCATTAGGCTTAGTGTGCAAAGCGAGTTGAGATGAAGTAGCTGCTCTGGTATGTGTCCAAAACTGTGGTTCTATTTTTAGTCTCTCCTGTGCGCTTCTTAGTGCTGCGTTGTACGCCTGGGCACCTGGATCGGCAGCAAAACATGGAACTGAGCCATTCATTTGTAAAACTGGAAGGAAGGAGGCCATTGATGCGGGGCTTGTTTACTGCTGAAAGGGAAGAGGGACCTGGAATGTTAATGAGGATAGCTCTCTAAAGCATGCCTGCATGGTTAGTAAGGAGTTCAAAGGAGAAGGCAGACTCAGTCCTGTGCTGAATAAATGTGAACTGTTGATAGAAGGAAGGAGAAATCAATTATGCTGTCGCAGGCTTCCATGTCATTGTGCTGGAGTTGTTAGAAAAGGTAGGACAAGGACCAGATCTCAAAAGGAAACAAAGCCACATGGCCTTCAAGTATAACGAGTTTGCCATGGCAACTGATGGAAATGAGCCTCCCGGGCACCGAGCAGGTGTGTTATCGTACAGAATAAACATACTTCTCTCACTCCCTAGCTTTTACAATAAAACCTGTGTTTGGATTACTTTCCCCTCCTCTTTGTTACCCAGAAAAGTTGGCTGTTGCTCAATCAGCCCCAGGCTCTAGTGAGGGAAATGTAATCAGTGTTATCAAAAGGCTGCTTTTGAAAAGGCTGGCGTTTGGCTTGGCTGTCAGCCTCACTGCTGAGTGGCAGCTGAGCCACAAGTACCTGGCCTGGCCTTTGCCACCTTCCACAATGTCCTCCGCAGAAAGCTGTTGGCTCCTGTGTTTGCTGAGGTACAACAGTGAGGCCAGGCTCTCAAACGGCCATGGTAAAAAGCTGCTAGTTCTGAGGAGAGGAGACATGTGTTTAGGTGAGGTGGGGGCCTAACCGGTTTTCAGCATCCTGTATTATCTAGGATATGGGCCAAGGTTTCCTGGAGTTCAAGGACGTGATTCTGTCTTTTAATCTGTTGCTATCTACAAAGTTCCATTACTCAGAAACTGGAGAGAGCTCTTGTTTCCCAGAGTCTGAAATCCCTCTCCAATGGGTTCAGGGCTGATAGAGTCTTGTGTCTGACATGTACACAAAATGTAGAGATTTTATAATATCCTCACAAGCTACAAATGAAAACGAGATTTATTTTTAATTTTTATAATGCCAAAGTAATGATAAAATAGTCACATATTTTTGTTGCTCTTGTTTGTGACTAAAAAGAAACATCCACTCTAACTCCAAACTGATTTTCAAAACAAGATGCTTATTCTCGATGGGCTCCTAGAACAGAGATGGTTTCTAAACACGATTGTGGAAAATAACTGACCCAAGGAGAACTTGTACAGCCAGAACCAGTCGGCTTGATGCAAAACTGTCAAGCAGTAGGTTATGGTCAGCAACACTAAGCTTCCTCCCTGCTTCTGCCCAGGTCCTACCTTCCTCCAATAAGAAGCCTAGCACGCTCACCCTGCCTTGCTCATCTAGCCCTATCCTTCAGAGAATGCCCTGATTTGTTTAGCACAGCTCCCGGTGTGGACAATGGGAAGGCCCATCCTGGGTGTGGGTGACACCATCCGAAAGGTGGGTAGTCTGGAAAGGAAAGAAGGGAGAGGCAAGCTGCTGCTGCTTTGCTGGCTTCTGCCTGTTTGCCATGGACTATTTCTGCTCTGTGATGCCCCTCTGTGATGCCACCCTGCCTTAGAGCCAACTGATTATGAACTGAAAGCTTTATAAACTGTGAGCTAAACAAACCTTTCTTCCTTTGAATGTTGGGTATTTTGTCTCAGCAATGAGAAGAAGTAACTAAGATAGTTTCCCTAATGTGATGCCAATTCACTCATGCCATTTGCAGACAACACTGGACATGCTCAGCCCTGCTACCCTCAACCAGGGAATTGGCTCAGCCTGCCCTACACAGCCTTATCAGGGCCTCAATTCATAGGAGAAGCCCAAGATTTAGGTCCTCCAGGCACCAAGGCAGATTCAGCCAACATGGCATTTAAGGAATTTCATACTGTGTTTAATAGGCAGCTACTCAGTGCACTTCTAAGACTGGCATTCTAAAG